CTGTATGGTTCGTGGTTGGTGTTTATCCTTGGTTTCTCTGTTTGGTTCGTGGTTGGTGTTTATCCTTGGTTTCTCTGTATGGTTCGTGGTTGGTGTTCATCCTTGGTTTCTCTGTATGGTTCGTGGTTGGTGTTTATCCTTGGTTTCTCTGTATGGTTCGTGGTTGGTGTTTATCCTTGGTTTCTCTGTATGGTTCGTGGTTGGTGTTTATCCTTGGTTTCTCTGTATGGTTCGTGGTTGGTGTTTATCCTTGGTTTCTCTGTATGGTTCGTGGTTGGTGTTTATCCTTGGTTTCTCTGTATGGTTCGTGGTTGGTGTTTATCCTTGGTTTCTCTGTATGGTTCGTGGTTGGTGTTTATCCTTGGTTTCTCTGTATGGTTCGTGGTTGGTGTTTATCCTTGGTTTCTCTGTATGGTTCGTGGTTGGTGTTTATCCTTGGTTTCTCTGTATGGTTCGTGGTTGGTGTTTATCCTTGGTTTCTCTGTATGGTTCGTGGTTGGTGTTTATCCTTGGTTTCTCTGTATGGTTCGTGGTTGGTGTTTATCCTTGGTTTCTCTGTATGGTTCGTGGTTGGTGTTTATCCTTGGTTTCTCTGTATGGTTCGTGGTTGGTGTTTATCCTTGGTTTCTCTGTATGGTTCGTGGTTGGTGTTTATCCTTGGTTTCTCTGTATGGTTCGTGGTTGGTGTTTATCCTTGGTTTCTCTGTATGGTTCGTGGTTGGTGTTATCCTTGGTTTCTCTGTATGGTTCGTGGTTGGTGTTTATCCTTGGTTTCTCTGTATGGTTCGTGGTTGGTGTTTATCCTTGGTTTCTCTGTATGGTTCGTGGTTGGTGTTTATCCTTGGTTTCTCTGTATGGTTCGTGGTTGGTGTTTATCCTTGGTTTCTCTGTATGGTTCGTGGTTGGTGTTTATCCTTGGTTTCTCTGTATGGTTCGTGGTTGGTGTTTATCCTTGGTTTCTCTGTATGGTTCGTGGTTGGTGTTTATCCTTGGTTTCTCTGTATGGTTCGTGGTTGGTGTTTATCCTTGGTTTCTCTGTATGGTTCGTGGTTGGTGTTTATCCTTGGTTTCTCTGTATGGTTCGTGGTTGGTGTTTATCCTTGGTTTCTCTGTATGGTTCGTGGTTGGTGTTTATCCTTGGTTTCTCTGTATGGTTCGTGGTTGGTGTTTATCCTTGGTTTCTCTGTATGGTTCGTGGTTGGTGTTTATCCTTGGTTTCTCTGTATGGTTCGTGGTTGGTGTTTATCCTTGGTTTCTCTGTATGGTTCGTGGTTGGTGTTTATCCTTGGTTTCTCTGTATGGTTCGTGGTTGGTGTGTATCCAGCCCCAGGCCGAATAGGGTGCTTCAAAGAAAGGGTCCCCAAAGCGGCAACCCCTGGGTCAATCAGCGGTTTGTTTAGGGTGGTTCCCGTTCGTCTTGCACCGGGCCCCTTTTTTTGGCTGGGAGCGTTTGCCCTTTGCAAAAAGAACCGGCGAGTAAAAACGAGTCACAGGACCAAGGCCCCAACGGATAGGAACCTCCCAAGAGCTGGTTAAAGATAAGGCAAAGCGGCGAATGCTGTGCTGGGACCTGCTTGATGATCATCCTGATGACACACACGAATAGTTTGCAATTCCTTTCTAGGCCAGCAAACATGACAGTTCGAGGTCCGTGCTGCCTTATATGCCCGCATACCCAGGCTCCAATCAACAACGTAGTGGCAGGATGCCATCTCTCCTGTTGGCATGTTTCGCTCTTGACGCATCCTGGGATCAACCAACTTGCTGGTTGCTCAGGGAATGAGCCAGGATGTGGGAATGAACTGGCTTTGTTTCTCTTTCTTGAAATGATCACCAGTTGGATGTTGTTGTCTTTTTATGATTTTGTGTTTCTTTTCCTTTTTTCCCCGAAGGGGTCCCTGCCTATCGCACCAGCCATCATGTGCCATCTACCTCCGGCTTTTCCGTGGCTCCTGCCCCCGTGGCTGGCCCATGCGCTGGAGCTGCTGGCGCAGGACCTAGCTGAGTTTCCCTGGTTGGGGCATAAAACCCATCTAAACCAGTGGAACCCATCTATGTTGAATAAAACAAACATATGGCCATGGGTCAAAACCCAAATCGGCTAGCACCCAGTGAACATCCCAATCCAAGCACTAAAATAGGTTGTAAAATGGGTGGTGCACCTATCCCCAAATGGTACCATTGGTTTTGAACCATGGCCATATGTCCAGTGGTGATAGATTCCTGTTAAAACCAACAAGGGAAAAACTAACATGCTGATACAACAACATAACAGTTGACAGTTGAAAATAGTCTTTACTATGTTACATCACATGTTGTACTCCAAAATGCTGCGACAACTTCCAATGTCAGAGAGATATCTGGCCAATGTCTGATATGAGTTTGTTCCCCCTGACTATCTTGGGTGAAAACGAGCTTCTGCAGACACGCTCAGAATCAACTGTTGCAAGCAGTAAATATTGCCAAACCGTTCGCCTCAGGCTTTGGCCTGTAGTCTTTCCCAAGGGCATCGGATCGCCCCCTTTGGGGGCGCGATAGTAACTCGGTCTTAACAAGTATATTTGGAGTATGTCCAATGGATACCGTGAATCAAATACATTCATGCTCACCTCAAACAGGGATATGTCGGAATGCAAAGGTTCATGAAAAAGACCTTGGAAGCGAACTTCCGTGGCAGGTCAAAGCCTCCTGCAAAATAATACCTTTGAACCCCTGGTTCTTGTCGAGGGTAACCACGAAACCATCAAGCCAAACCGCCAAGTAGGCGCCCTTGACAGCTTTGGGCCGGCCCAACGCATCAAAGGAGCTCAACCTGCGGCCGGCCAGTTACCCCACTGGCCCAACCTCTCGATTCCATGCGTCTCGAGTCTGGGCCTGCTCTCTTTGGCGGCCTTCCGCCACGCGCAGCTCAGTCGCCTGTGATGCCACCGGACCAGAAAAATCAATAATGAACACCCCCTGTAAAGATACCCCTGTGTATTCATTTGGGGGTGTCCCTGGTTTTAGTGGGGATTGTTCACTTTTGGAGGGGAACACCCCCCTATTAATAAACTGGGGTTGATTCATAGGGGGTTAACATTACCCGGGGGTCCCCAGATGCACGTGACATTGATAGAAAAAGCATGTATCTGCGGAGGAATCTGGCACACATTTACGCCACTTCTTCGCATCTTGTGGGTACTCGCTATGAGGCATGTTCGAGCTGTTCTGGTATTTTTGGTTACCGAATTTGTGCTTCTAAACAAGAACAGAGCATGTGACTGCAAATGTCGGGCTTCAACTGAAGAATAGATGCGCCATCATGTTGTGCGCCAGACCGACCCGCGTCAGAGGCTCCAGACAACCCCCCCCCATTTTATCAGATAAAATAGGGTTAGTCCATCCTTATTGGAAAATAAAACGAAATAGTCCAACTTTGACAGAGAATAAATTGACAAATCACGATTTATGTTCACCAGATTTTGGGAGTTTGGTTTCAACAGTCCAAGTTGGACCAAACGTATTTCATATTTTGTTTGGATGAAAATAAAGTCAAGGGGGTCCAACTCTTCCTGGGGAAGAAGCGGGTTGCCTCCGGTTAATTTGAAACGAGTTCAGTTCAACTTTGAAGGGTTTCTCAAAGAGGCCAAAATGAGTTTAATGGAAGACTAGAAACAAATAGAGACTTATTTTAGGCTCCGACCCGCCCCAACTTTATTTTGAGCCTGCAACAGGGGTCAGACCGCAACATGCGGCACGCTGGCCCTTTCTCTTTCACTTGCTGCATCGCTTCTGCGATGTCCTGGGGATGATGGGGCTTCACTGTATTTGCTGGAATGAGTCATCATAGGGAATTCCATAAGTCAAGGGGGGGGGGCAGTTTTCATCCCTGGTCAAGTACATGATGTCAGGCCAGTCACCACTGCTGTCGGCCGGGAAACCAAAGCTAACCCCGTTGCAGAATTCTGTCCTTGAGGACGAAAATCGCTGAGGGCTACTGGACTAAATGCTGGCATACCCGTGGTTGAGATCTTGGGATCTTCATTCGAGGCCTCTTCACGGCTCCAGAGGTTCAAGGTGTGATGTGGCTTTCGTCGCCGATACTGGATCCTTCGAGCAGCCCAGAAGTGCACAGCAATGCCCCCGCGGAGGAATGCTGGTGTAGACATGAGCAGCGGTGGGAGCAGCCCGACGCTGACCAGCGGCTGTGCAAGCAGTCAGCCTTTGAGTGAACGATTGCAGGCAGTTAGCCAGCCCAAGAACGGAAAGTGAGGCACTTGTTTGGGATCCCTTGAACGTGCAAGCTACCATTTGGCCTGACATGGTTCACTTGCTTCCGGAATCCCTTAAACGTGCACGCTACCATTTGGCCTGACATGGGTTCACTTGTTTCCGGGATTCCTTGAACGTGCACGCTACCATTTGGTTGTTTCCACGAGAGCACCCATTCCAAACGTGGGGCGAACGATGGCTGTAGAGCCAACATGTTGGTGTGTGTGTTTTTTAGGGGACCCCCAAAATGGCGCAAAGGTTTCCTCTTAGTTTCCCTTTGAAACCAAAAGCTCAGGTGATATCCCCAACAGCCTGAGACAACGCCCATACTTTCCAGAAGTCGGAACCACCCCGCGCATCTAGAGAACCCTCCCCATGCGTCCCCTGAACCTCCTCAGAACTCTACCCCAGAGCCGCCCACGACCACCCTGGTGTTGGGGAACAAAGAAGGGGTACCCTACAAAAAGACACAGTCAACCATTCAGAAGGTGTTACCCCTAACACAAAGATCCTGGTCTGCACATCCAAACAAAGCGGACAATATATCAATATATCTACGATATCATATGCACAGCTGTCGCCACAATATCTCAGATATCCAATGCCGCAAAGAAAGAAGTGCAATACAAACAGAAATGTAGCACACCCAGCTTGCCCAGAACACTCATGATGTATGTCAGAGCAAACAAGTCGAACCACACAATTTAGGCTAGACTATATTGGGTCCATTCAAGTGACATCCTCAAAACAAAATACCGACTCTAAATGGTGAGTAATTAAATGACACCACCCCTTTTAATGTATCTTTCAATGAAATAAAAACCATGAGCCTCTCAAGATGAAGCTAATTCAAGGCACACCACCCCGAGGCCAGCCTAATCCCAATCCCGTTCCAATCAAGCCCCAGCTCAGCTTTCGTCTCCCAGCCAGGAGCATAACACATCATCACCAGGCAACACTTTCATCATGGGACGCGGTTTTTGGATACGGCACAAGGCCCTTTGCAACCAAAAACAAACAGACGAATCTGGCCTGCAGGGCGGCTTGCTCGGAATCCTTCTCCTGCAGACAAGGACCGTTAGGTGGTATCCCCAACAGCCCCAGGACCCCCTGAAACTCTGGAACCCTCCCTATTTGGCCCGGTCGACCCCAAGCTTTCAGCCCTGGAAAAGTAAGCTGGCCGCAACTTGGGGTTCATGGAAGCCATGGCCACTCTCCAAACGAGCGGAGAAAAGCCCAGGACGTGTTTATGCTGTGACACCTGTCTTGATTTGACGCACCTGTCTTGCTTTGACGTAAAAGCAACGTGTCTCACTTATAACAGCAACATGCATTATAGCCCGCAGCTCAGACTTCCTAGTCTACTCCCCTCTTGCAATGCGGACATGCACCTCTCACGCCGCTTGATGTGAACCCAATCCGAAAAAGTTGTGCAGTCTGATGGCTCTTAGCAATGAGGACTCAATCGCAAGGTTCAAGGGCAAATATGAGCAACATGAAATTCTGAGATACGCCCTCACAATAGGAGCTTCATGAATCAAGGGCTGAACCTTTCGCCATCTCGTTGAGCGTCCTATTTGGGGCGCACAAAAATCACGGCCTCCTGGCTACGCTTGCTGCGGCTTGCCGATTGAGTTTCAAAACAATTGGTTGAACAGCATGCCGCTATGCAGGATGACAGGCATGCAAGAACCGAGGCAAAGGCAGCATCGGAGGCAAACAAGCAACACAGAATGACTCGGTTCCATGCTGGTTGACGTCATTGGAGTCGTAATCAATACTTGGTATTCAAATTGCGTACAACGATGTAAAGATTGAAAAGGCGGCTGCACTTATGGTTGGGCACTTCATCTACCCGGGTCTTGATTGTGGCTAAAGTGTCGGTGGAAACATTAAAACCTCAACGATTCGTGCACGCCAATCGCACTCAGCCGGTCCTGAGTTGCTGTAGTTGGAGTCCGGGAGCCCTCGGACGGCTTTGACAAGCTGTTGGCAGGAACATAAAGGCTCTCAGGGAACTGGTAATTATACGCTTTCTAGGTCCTCCAGTGGAGAGGTCAGAAAAAAGGATACCGTTTTTCTGTAGTCTATTTTAGTAGGGGAACTCCCAAAAAAAAGTAAAAGGGCACTACTGGGGGACCTAGCTTTGCTCAAAATGTGCAAGTCAAACAGGGAGAATGTGATCACTTGCATGAAAGGGTCTCCGAGGTCAGCCCAAGTACTCCTCATGGTAGTGGCAGCCACATTGCACAAATGCATCCGTGTGAGGAACGCTCCCTTCGGAAGAGCGGCATGGAGAGTTCACGGTCCATACACCAAAACAGCACCGCTATTGTCACGTAGGCGCCTGGCTCTCTCAGGCAAGGTGCACTAAGTTTCGCACAGCGTCAAGCAAATGCCCATGTGCAACGTTGGGTACATGCCAAGATGAGGTGTAAGTCTAAAAAGACCGACGTAAAAATATGATGCACTGCGGCTCATACGATTGACAACTGCAAATGGTCCAATTGGAAAGCATGTCACAAATGTTCCTAGTTCTCAACAAATAAACATCATTTCGCGAACTTCAAAATAAGTAGATCATGTGTGACACGATGCATCCATCATGGATGACAACAAAACAAAGCAAAGATAGCAACAAACAACACGTATCAGTTCGCATTGAGCAAGGCCCCTGGGTTTGGAGTGCCGCAACAAATCCTGCGACTCGATGAACAAGATGCCAGTACAACAGACCTTGCCATGTTTGTGTCTCAAAGTTGCGCCTTATTTGTTTCGCCCCGGACAAAAAAAAGAAAGTAAAAAGAGAGTAAAAAAACGTCTCTCGTTCATGACAGCTCATGTCAGGTTCTAGTTACTGATTGTAAGCTGAGCTGACCGACGAATCAAGCAGTTCAACTGGCCCTTTCAAGATCCAAAGTCAAAACCTCAACTGTCAACAGCCAGGCGCTCGGACCGAACCATCGCGTCTCTTGCTCGACCTGAGAAGCTTGACTGCTCCGGTTTTTTTTTGGGGGTCGAAACGCCTGATACATAGGGCCTGTGGTCATGGTTCCCTAGGAATCGTCGCATGGCTAAGGATCCTTACAAGTGGATGACCATCACTGCTAAGTAAAGGCCCTTCCGATGCGACTGATTGCGCAAAAGCCGATTCGAACAGAGTGAGACCCCATAGCGGAAACCACCAAAAGCAATTCAGTCAGGTATAGCCCCAAATAGTGGTTCAGGATTGGTTTTGTGTTTGTTTAGTATCGGGTTGGTAATGGTTTAGTGTTGGGGTTTAGCATTGGTTCAGCCATGCTGTAGCATTGGTCGGGTAGTACTGGCTAGTGTTGTGTTGTCTGGCTTCGTGCTAGTTTACTACTGTTTCAGTATTGGTTTAGCAACGTATTGGTGTCGTATTTGCGAAAAACAGGGCTGGTGAAGAGTCATGGGGAGGCCCCTTTTTGTCTTCAAACAACTTGTTTGTATTGCATGCCATTGTATCTTTCTTGGGGGAGTGAACATTTTTGAAACACTGCTCTGCTTTTGGTACTCTCGACTGAAATTCACCTGCTCCAGGCCTATGCAATCACAGGTGCAGCAAATCCACTTCTTGCGGGGCTTCAAGCTTGAGCCCGAACGCAGAGCTCAATCCTTGCTGGTCCCATTCAAGCTCTGCTTTTTGGTGACAACCTTTTCAAAAGACTGCACAATGAAGTGTCCACTTATTGTTATGAATGACAATAAAATAGATCCCTTGCAGAACCTCGACACACACACACACACACTCACACACACACACATCAACAACGCCAGCACCATAGCCTTGGACGGTGAGCTTGATGCTTACATAAGACATAACTTACCAAAACTGGCCCTGTGGTATATTCCCTTCAAACAGCAATTGTTTCACTTAGAAAACAATGCACCATAGCTTGAAACATGTTATTTTAACCTCACTCACCACCATCCTTTTTGTCATGGGGGCTGGGGGGGAGCGAGGGGAGGGCAGGGAACCCAAATAAGCCAAAGGCGCTCCTTCCCCCTCCCCTCTCTCCCCCCCAGCCCCCATGATTTTCCGACCCTGGGATCAATGACGCCTCCAGGCGAACGTCGTCGTCGCGAACTCTCGCGAGTCGTCGTCGCGAGTCGTCATCGTTGAGGCTTCGACCCTCGCAGCTTTCTCCGCTGCATGGCGTGCAGCTCGCTCTCCCTCACCGCCTCAATTTTCTGACCCCTTGCTTCCATTTTGTCCCTGGCTGAGGGGGGAGTAATTGGAAGGGGCTGGGGGGGCGGTTGTGAGGGACTACCTCCCACCAACCAAATTTCATGGCGCTACTGTGCTCCCCTTCCACACCCATTTAAAAAAAAAAAATCAAGGAGGGGGAGGTGGTTCTACCCGCAAAAAATGCTACAATTTGCATGCACCGTGGCAAAAAATGGAACACTGAGAGGGGGGAGGTGGATTTTCTTGACGGGATGCAGGAAATACATCCTTCCCCCGATTTCCACACCCGATTCCCCCACCCAGTAAAAATGGAAAGGGGTGTGTGTGTGTGTTTTTTATCTGTAGAAAATGCTACAATCGGCACCCTCTCCAGGTCCGCAAGAGCAAGCGGAAAATGAAGGGGGGTCCCCCCCGACACGAAATTGGGGAAAGCACCTCAGGTTTTCTTTTTCCAATTTCCACTGGGACCTCAAAGCTGGATTCCACGTCGGACCCAAAAATGGAAAGGACAAACTCCCAAACCTGCCACACCCCCCCCCCCCCCCCGCCCTCATATTCCATTTCAAGGGGGTGGGGGTGAGCTGTCAGAAATGTATGGTGCCGGTCCCTTTTCGGAGCCTGGTTCCGGTAGGTGCCGCCAAAAACAAGGGGACAGCAAAACCGGCCCCTAAGTTTTGACGGCCTCGCGTAACAGTCGGTTCGTTTCATTGATGGGAATGTCTAAGCCTCTAAGCCTGAGCTGTGACCTTCAAGAGACCCCTGGTCCCGACCACGGTGCTCAAAACGACCGACCAATCACACAGTGACAGCGAATTTGGGGTAAACTTCCGCACCCAAACCGGAAAGGGATCCTTGGGCGTTGCAGATGGCAACCTCCCACACTTCCGAGGCTTTCGGCTGTCTGCTGCTCCAGCGTAAAAATGGCCGCCTGTGCAGGGAAGGCCCTCAAAACGGCCTGACTTAGATTCTAGCGGTTTAATCTGTTCATTGGAACCAGTGCTCAGACGCAAGGGCAGTCTCGTTGAACGGATCTTTTGCCGACGAGATTGGATTCGCCAAAGTTCGGACTCAACCCTGTAAGAAAGTGCATCGGGCAAAAAATGTTTTGGCTGAGGTCGCCGTACAATGTGTCAACAAAGGTCAGAAATTGAGTTACAAGTACTAGGATTAACAAAATTGGCAGCTTATTCGCTAAACAGCACGGGTATACTCCCAACTATCAGGCCGTTTGGTAGTTTGGTAATGCTTCAAGAGCAGCTGGCCTTCAGGAGAAAGGGACAAATACCACAAGTCAATCTGAATAAAGGTCTGGGGCCAGGACCCCCCAATTGCTGGCAAATGGTCTGTGGAATGACCTCCCAAATGGCTGTTTTGGGCTTATCTTGTCAGCCATGGGGTCCTGGGGGTTGCTTCCCGTTCTTTTCAACCCTCGTTCTTTTCAATAACCAGCCGTTGTCCCTGGGTTTCAGGAGGTTTTCTAGAAAGAAGGATCCCTGGAGAGAAAGGAAATGGAAGGTTCCCCTAGATAAGGATGTTCTAGGTTGGCCGGCCTGTCAAAGGTGGATCCGTTGTTGGATAAGACAAAGTCTGAGAAAACTTGCTGGCGTGATAAGTAGGGTTCAGGGGTCCCCTCAAAGGAAACCAAAAGCTGGATGGTGTTTAAAAAGCGTCATTCCATGTCTCATTTCCGCTGAGCATCAGCCAGAAAATGGCCTTCCAACGTTGGCACTTGCCACCCACAGGGATTCTGGTTTTGGATACCCTCCAGCGAGATTAAAAGCCCCATTGTGATACCATCTAGCTCTCTTTCGATTCATTTCCCTCGCCCGTTTGCTCCGCGCATTCTTGGGCTGATTTAATGGATCTGCACAGTGCAGGAGATGAACCTGGAAGAATATGGCCTAAGCCAAGTAGGGTGAATTTCGCACCTCAGTGAAATACTGAGTGTTTGCCACTTAGAAATGGAATCTGCAAGCCTTTGGACACGAGGTGCCAAGAAAGCAACTGGCAAAAGGCGGCTCGAGCCGCTAACACCTGCAAGCGCCGCCTGCAGTTCAGACATCTCGCGACTCGCGGCTTCCGCCTCCGCTTCCTGGCAGGCGGCGTCTTTCCACATGAACCGTCTGCCTGACAACAGCCAACATTCTTTGGGTTCTGCGCCTTCACCCGTTGCCTGCTAGTGATTGTGCGGTATGCTCAAAGCGACAGGTTCCGCGTAGAAAGTCGAGCAAGGCACCCACCCCCGAGATTCTCAGGCAAGCGTACAGCACGACCTGGTAAGGTATGTCGATAGCCCAAACTCCAATCAAGTCCTAGTGGGAAAGCACCACCTCTCTCCTGTTTGGAACACTAAATGGTTGAAGCTGCTAAATGGTTGATTCGCCTGCAAGAGGGGAGGCTCTGGAATGCCATTCTTTGGTTCTGCTTATGCGATTGGCGCTCTGCCCATCTTCCAAGCGCTGAAAAAGAACAGTGGCAAAGCGGTGCTGGCAACATCTGTGCCTCGCCGCAAGCGCAACAAACATAAATCCAAGTCAACATATAGATTGCAAACCCTTACTCGGTTGCTTTCTGCTCCCCTGCTAAAAGCATAACTTTTAGTGTTTGAATGGAACACCCATTAGTTGGCAAAAAGTTAAAGTCCTACAATCCTGGTTAAACTCGGCTGGGACCACAAGTGGGAATCAACTGGGCTGTGTTCCAGGTGGTACTTCCCTGGGCCACATAGGTTTCAGGTGACTGCTCATGGACCCAGCCGCGCCTCCGAAGCCGAGGTAGCTTCGGCCTCAAAAAGTCACCCCCCGACCACATGGCATTGGCCATCGCCTTTGGCCATTGTGGGTGGCTCGTCCTGTTTTTGGGATTTGGCACCCCAAAAAGGTGGGCTCTCCTTTTGCCTTCCGATTGACACCACAAAACAGTTGGTACCCTCCAAAAGACACACAGCCAAATTGTAGATCTGCCCAAGACTTCTCCGAGCTTCTCCGCTTTCCTCGAGGGAAAGCCAAGCTAGCTGTGCAAGTGTTCGTGTTTAATACGTTCGCAGTCAGCTGTGGCAGCCTGGGAAATCTGTGTGGAATGGACGACACTTCTGGTTCAGGTGATGCCCAAAGGACAAGTGCCATTGAGACAAAGAGCTCCATGCCACTCGATTCGAGTTCTCCCCCATGCCACAAGGGTCCCCACCCAATAACAAAGGAACGGGCGATTCGCGTCGGACATATCACGCTGAAATCCTGTGGGTCTGTGTCCGAGCTTTGCATTTTCAACCGCGAATCCGCACTTCATCGCGAAAACAACTTCAAATCTGCCCAATGTGCTTCACATTTCTCCAGCTTTTTGGGTGAACACAATCACTCCCCACTCCCCCTCCCTCCCCGACACCATAACTTCAACGTGCAGTCTACGGCAGGCGCAACGTCTGAGTTCACGCCAAGACCATGCGCATGTACAGCTTCAACCATGCTGAAACAAGCCCTCCCGCGAATTCCCGCGGCACTTTATCGCTTTGATGTGGTGTTGCTGGCCGTCTCTTCTAATAGGCGAACGGCTCAAAGGGAAGTCGGTGAAAAAATGTTTTGCCAAAGACTTGCCTCTCACGGATTTCCCGGCTCCAATGTCCGGACCCTGCCTGGTTCACAGAGTTGTGGCCCTGACATCCCAAAGGCCCCATGAAACAGACCAACGCAAGCCATGGGTCGATTGCGACGAAACTCAAGACAATGCAAGATGGCTGCTGTATGCGTCTGAGTGAGATCAGACATGATGTTGTTCACTTGTGTTTGAGTTGAACTGATCCAATGAAATAAGACCATTCAAAGGAGCGAAAGCCCACCCTTGATCACCAAACAAATAGCTGTGACATCCTTGCCAGAAAGTCCAGCCGAAATCCGATTAGGGAAGAGGATGATGTGTCCTATCATGCAAAAACAAATCTGAAGCATGAATAGTTCCGCCTGGTCAACACACACACACAAAGAAGAAGAAGAAGACAAACAATACTGGCAGCATTGCCAACAGTATAGCAGCAGTGCGGCGATCCACCAGGAACCGACGTCTCGCACCCAAAATTGTCCTAGGCGCTTCAGCCCCTATACTACAAAGAGTTAAAACGTCCTTGGCCTTCAAGTACCCTTCCAGAGATGCTACCGTGGATGGACGAAATTCTGCCCCAACTAAGAAACACCGGAATCATGATTCCCCTGTAGATACCAACAAACAATGGGTTCCCATGGTTTCTTAAGCGGTGCAGGATTTGTCTGTCAACAGTCCGCAGTATGTTACTGGGAAGGATACCTACTCAATGTAATTACACAACATCTCTGAGGCAAAGACGTGTCATTTGCGATGGCCAACGTGGGATTCCGCTGCGTCCAAAGCAGCGATACAAAACTAGTCTATGCTTGTCCAAATAATGGTAGTCTTCCACAACCCGCCTACTTCCATGATTGCTGAAAAGAGGGCATTTACGAACATTTGCTTGCACACATGCAAGCAGTTGGTCAGCGTCTATTAGCCAAAGCCTATGCTCGAGGCAATCCAACCCACTGCCATTTTGAAGCTTGGAAACACATCTTCGTTGCTGAGTCGTGGGACGAAGTCGATGTCTTCGGGTAAGGTGTTCACTGTTGAGGCACTCCATCCTGCAGCTACTTGGGAAACAACCACATTCTGGTGTCGCGAGCTCGGATCCCAGACGTCGGTAACACGTAGGTGTTCACAACATAGAGACGCACTGCACAAGATGGCGGTCATCAAAAGCATGTTGAACAGCTGGACAAATTTTCTGAAACGGATGTTTCAGGATCTTCACGAGCACATAGTGCTCATTGTTGTTTAGGCTCAACCAGAACGATATTTGTCATGTGAACACGTAGGGACCCTTGAGAAAGACTTCGAGAGGGCACCACCGCCAAACAGTTGTGTCTCCAAGTGGGTACCAAGAAGTGTATTGCTGTGCATATAGAAAGTTTCATCGGGTTGAAGGCACATCATCTAACATCATGTGAAGCCTCAGACACGCGCTGGGCAGAATTCGATCAAAACATGGCAGGCCTTGAAAAGGTCGTTCGTGCGAACTTCCGCGATCTCCGAAGTGATCACCTGCCCAGCGCTACGCAAACTGGCCCAGGCTGCTATGCGGATTGATCGAAAGCACGGGCCTTGGGCCAAAGCTCTGGCAACATCCCACAGGGTTTCCAGAAGTCAACGCCATGCTGCCCGGGCGAGACGAACATTTCTGTACTCCAGACATTGCAAACTCCCACAAGCCCGAGCAGGCCGAGTCCAGCCTATTGAAATAGTCAAACTCATGAATACAATGACCATACAAGCAAATGAATAATGGCATGGTTCAATAAACAACCAGGGACATCTGTATCCCAAAGACGTGATGTGATGTGGCTTGCAATGACAAGCAAGGGGAATGGTGCAGAATGGCGCATGCTTCAGTCCCGCAACAAACCAAGTCTGAGGCCAACAACGACACATGCACTTACACTACGACACCCTGGACAAATGACATAATAATCTCTATTGGAATCCCACAAATTAGAGCCATAAAGTTATAAAGCATGTAATCACAAAGCCTACCCCAGAAAGAAAAAAGAAAGGGCGCAAACGAAGAACCAACGTGGACAGCACCAAGAATGACCGCAGCGTCGACGCCAGCAACAACGCGGAAACAAAACCTGAGCCAACAGTTTGACGATGCATGTCAAAACAGCGGGCAAGCCAACGAGGAGAATCGACACCCTCAGATTCAAAGGTTCAACAAAAAGCAAACAGTACGGATGAAGTCCAAGGGAACTCTTGAGGAAAACAGTGTTCAACAATAATCCAGGGCTGAGCTCACACATCGCAGAGAAATGGACCATGCAAAAGTAAAGAAGCACTGGGAAACACTCACCGCGGGTAAGCAAGTCGCTAAGCGCGGCAAAGCACCCAAAGGGAACTTGCTCGAGATGTGCCCGAAAAGCAGCAACCAAAGTCACCCAATCCGGCAAATGGCACTTGGCCAGACTTAGACACGCAGTGTTTTTTTGGCCAGAGGGAAAAACAAAGGAAACCGGTCCAATGTTGTTTGAGGGTACCCCTGGTTTTGCTCTGTTTTACAGGAACCAAAAGAGAAAACCGCCATGTTCTGTTTTGGGGTGGGGGAAAGACTTACCCCAACAAGGCCAGAACCTGCGGGGTCGGTCTATGAAAACCTGTCAACCAGCCCAGCGGTGCCTCGCAGTGCGCCTCCGCGCGTGCGCGGTACTCTTGCCGCAAGCCTTGGGCCTCTTGCACCGCCTCCGTCTCCCGGCCTGGGATCGGACGGGGTATCGGGTGTATCCCCTTCATATACATGGCTTCATATACATGGGAGTTTTACGACTCACAGCCAAAAGGCTGTGGCTCCAAATTCAAGGGCTTTTACGACTCACAGCCAGGGTGTGGCTAAACAAACTCAAGGGCGATTGCGTAGGTCTCTGTTTCCATTGACCAAGGGCCCGACTTGGGTACCATCTTTGGAGCCAGGGCCATATCCTAGGAGGTACTTAGGACCTTTTGGAAGCTGCACACAAAGTATTGGTGCTTTGCCAAAGTGACAAGAACAATGGGCCATAGGAACGCAAACTAGGTCCTCCAGTAGAGAGGTCAGAAAAAGGGTACCCTTATTATTTCTGTAGTCGATTTTAGTACAGGAAACCTCCCCCAGAAAAGGGTAAAAGGGCACTACTGGGGGTCCTAGCAAAGTACAATCCCGGAAGCACAGTGCGCGGCAAGAAAGGGTGCTCCCTTCCGACGTCCCAAGAGGTGGAATGCAATCCATGGACTGCTATAAGTGTATCTGCTGCGATTCAATGAGCCTAGTGCCAATTGGCAAAAAGTTTGTCTCAGAAATGACAAAAGACAACCCATTAATCCGTCAAAAAGACATAGAGCAAGTCGCCAGCTGGAGGGATTGTTGTCAGCAGCTCTCGTGCCAAAAGCCCATGGGCCGCATGACCCGACCGGAATTCGACTGTAGACACCTTCACAGGACTGATTGCCCACACATCTTGATGCCACAGCTGTATGCCGAATGAGCCTGGTTCCTTGCGAGATCCTCGCAATGGCTGTGCAACTGAGGCAATACATAGATTGATTGTAGCCATGGCTCGATTGCCTGTGAAGCCCTGGACGAGTCAATTAAGCGCATGTGCGGGACAAAGGGAGGTGAGGGATGCTAGGACAACAGCCTACTATTGCCCCATTCGAGATCGGTCAGTATGCAAGACATGTGACAACTCCCAGCGCGGCCAACACAAGCCATTGCAAACAATGTGGCTCTGGAAAAATGGATCGAGCTGTTCAGCGCTGGAACGTGCCCGGCAAACCAATCGCCATCTATTTTTCGACCAAAACAACCAAAATACACAGCTATGGCCCCAAAACCCAAAAAACCCAGCTACCGCCGGGCGCTCGGACGCGCCATGATCTCCGCAGCGATGCGGCGCCGGGTGGCGCGCATGGTGCTGAGCCTTCGGACGCGGCGCTGGCGCTTCGTGCGCGAAGCTCTGGCGCCGTAAGGGGCATTTGGGTTGGTCCCAAATTAGGGAAACCCGCAAAATTGGGGTGGTTGCCTTTTGGGCTTCCTTGAAAACCATCCGAAAGGCTTGCCCGCGAAAAGAGACATGCCCATTTCGTCAAACACCTCGTCCACTTGCGCGTTTCAAGTAAAATCGACAAAAGGAGCTTCTGCACATGGGTGTCTGTTTTTTTTGAGGGTACCACTTTCTTGCAGGCTTTAAGGAAAACCAAACAGAACACAGCATCCCCCAAAATGGGTGTTGCTTTGTGGGTGTCCCTTTACCACCCTTTGCAGGGGTACCAACTCTTAAAAACAAGACAGACCCATGTCTCAAAGGACAAGCACATGCTGGGTCCGTTAAACCACACACCCATGGCCCATTCCCAAAGAGGATCTGGTCAGTGTCGCACCATCGCCAGTGCTGCCAGGAACTTGACTGGTGACACTCCCAGCACTCGCCCCGTGTCCCTTCACTCCACCTTTTTCAGGGACACCAACTTGTCCTTAAAAAGAGTTGGACACATTTCTCACAAACGGAGAACCACGTGATCTGCTCAAAGACCCACCCAAAACTGGGCTGCCCAAACTGATCCCTGGCCAAAAGTCAACAACTTGTGGGTTGTTAGAAGAAAACCTAACCACTCGCCGGCTGCCCGACATTGAACAAGTCCCGGAGTTGGAAAGGAAATTATGTTTTGAGTTAGAAATTCACACCCATCCTATGAATAGACAGAGGTTGAAGAAGCAGGCTTGAACAACCGCCCTATGAAGAAACAGGGGTTGAATAAACAATTTTCAAGCTTAGAAGCAAAGAGCAGGCGTACCCCTGACTGGTGCAAGCTAGAAGCCGTTTCTAGACCCGGGGTCCCCGGTTTTCAACAGCTCTGCCTCCCCCCAACGACTTCCCCCGTCGACTTCCCCCCGTCGGTCGCTTGAGCCGGGCAGCTCCGCGTTGCGCGCCGCCGTCTCCGCCGTGGCGAAGCGCGCCCGGCGGCCTTCGAAGGCCTGGCGAGAAAAACGCCGGAGCTGGGGCCGTTTTGTTGGGGAGCCAAGAGGAGAACAGGGCGGGGTCTGGTTGGTGGGCGTTTCTGGGCAAAACCAAACTTGGAAGACCGGAGTTTGTGTGTTTTGAACATGCTGTCCGGCTTTTTGGCAAAACCCAAATTGGAAGCCCGTTTGTTCTTCTTTTTCTCTTTTTTTGAGGGGAAACCAGAAGGAACACCGAGTAGTTTGGTTGGGACCAAAAAGGAAAGAATCACAAAATATGCATGGTTGATCTTTCTTTGGGGGAACCAACATGAAACCAAAGGGCAAACGGAAACTCGGGCTTGTCTCAAAACTAGGGAGCCTCTAATGTTGTGATGTTCCTTTTGATTTCCCCTTGAAATTAACAGGGGGGTTCCCAAAAAGAGACACCCCTTTGTTGGTTGGAACCAAAAGGAAAACCATATTTGGTTGGGTTTTTGGGAAACCAAAAGGACGGTTCCGGTCCCCAACATGTGTTGACACACCCACAGCCGACAAACTTGCACATAGGGCATCGAAAACCGATACCCAACCTGCAAAACCTTCGGGCATTTCATAGACACTGCACCTGTCAAGGACTTCCGCCTAGCGGCAAGTTGCCAGAAATGGTTGTCCGTCATGTTCCCACGAATCTGTTGCAAGTGATCACCCTGCTCTGCTTCAAAGAGCAGGCGTATCTGTGATTATCTGTGTTCACCACCATCCAACAAGCAAGGAACTCAGTCATCATGTAAGTATCTGTTGCATGTCTGGGTTCCAAACAACCGCTTGCACTTGGCTTCTGCCTGATCGCTTCGGGCTCGCCATGTCGCGACATATTGAGTAGTAGGAGTACTCTGCGTACGGGCATGGAGTAATACAAAGTGCTACTCGTTGTCAGCCAGAATTGCTTCTACAGTAGCAAATGCCGTCCCACTGACCACAGAGTGCCTCCAAACAAATCATAGAATGTATAGCTCAGCCAGTTCCGAGCTTGACATGCGTAAAGCCGCTGCAGCTTGCATACTAACGGTGAAAACTACTGCTTCATAGATCACACGTGCTGCAAATCGTAAACAACAAGTTCCCATGGCACGCACGTGTTTATCCAGAAAGTGGAAGAGCTCGGCTCCGAAACGAAAAAAGTCATGTGCTGTGTCCACCAAGGAATTGCCCTCTTTTAAGAAGCCCATCGAATTCTCTTGAAAAAAGGAAAGGCCGAAGGGGGCACTGCCTTCCATGTATTTGGTGTGACTGTTGAGAAGGTGGCACTGCCTCCCAACGTTGGTAACTTACGAGCCCATCGAACTCTCTGGAAACAAAAAGAACTAAAGCCTGCTGGCCGAACTACAATAGAGAAGCTCCCAAATTTGGTGACTCAATGGCCACCATGTCCTTCAGAACTCCTGGTAACTCCTTAAAGCTCCCTCAACAAAAAAACTTTGGTGTCTGTCCCGAATTTGGTGACTTGACCAATTGTTGCTGCGCTTTTTATTTGGCCACCCCCAAACTCCCTAAAGGTCGCGCAGTCAGTGCTCGGAGACCCGGATTCGTTCGTTCGACTGAGCCAATTAATCAAGGCTAGCTCCCTCTTGAAAAACACAATAACTCATGGTGTCTTTGGTCCCGAAATTGGTGACTTAACCAATTCATCACGGCTCGCTTCCCATTCCCGACTCCAACTCCTCCGCGTCGTGCGTCGTCGCTACCCCGCACCCCGGACGCCTCCCGCAGTGCTGCAGCGCGGGCCTCCTCTGAGGCGATCTCGCTCTCCAGGCTGCCTCGAAGGTTGAGAAGAAAAAAAGGGCGGCAGAACGGGGAACTGACCGGTTTTGTTATTTGTTGTGTTTGTGTGTTCTGTTTGTTCTGTCTTGTTCTTTATTGTTTTTGTTGATTTTTGTTTGTTTGATTGTTTATTTGCTTGCTTGATTGTTTGCTTGCTTGCTTGTTTGCTTGATTGTTTATGTTTTACGTTTGACGCGGCTGAGCGCCTGTTTTGACACTATGACGTTATTGCGTGACGTCTATGCTCAGGTAGCCCTTGATTGCTTGCTTGGATTGGTGGTGGGATTTGAACCCCGGGTCCTTGCGGGTAAGTGGAAAACCACTTTCTAACCTCCAAACCACCGATTTGGCTTCAAAGCACCTTTTCGGGGTGAGGTCGGATAACATCTAGTCCGGAGCCCAAGTCCATGCTGGCAAGGGGACGACTTAAGTCGGGCATGCGAGTGCAGATGTATTTCCCTTGGCCAAGAGCATCTTGGGTTGCATGCTCAAAGGGATTGGCCCATGGGTAATGAGGGAGCCCTCACGGGGACTTGGCTCCATCATTGCCTTTCAGGGTAAGTGCACAGTCGTATGGATATGCTACTATAGATTCAAGCCTGGCCAGATGCCTGTATGTTGGTTTAAGGTACTGTCTGCGCCAAGTGTGTACCTCACCCCACCGTTCAAAAGTGCGCGTTCTATCCGTTAGCCTGGTTTGCGGAGCGGCATGATCAATTGGAACATATGAACAGGGGTAAAGCGGCCCACAGGATTGTGGGTTTGGGAGCCACCCTCTGACAAAACGACAAGCCAATAACTCGAAGGAACACAGAGCCTCCCACCAAAGAACCTGACCAAAAGCCGCAGAAAGACCGCCTTTCCGAGTTCCCAGCCGCAACTTCGGCGGCAGCTGCGCAACTCTGTCGTGAGCTCCCGCGCTTGACGGTCTCAGTCGGCTTTCAATCATTTGGCATGCGAACTTTGCTCGGGAATCCCATAAAATTGCAGTGGTCACGAATAGGATAACCCCAAAATGGAGCCCTAGAATTGTGGTACCCGCATTGAGCTACCCCATGGAATCTGCCGAGTCCCCTCAAGCCTGGTGGCTTCCATGTTTGGGTAAAGAGAAATCAGCGCCCGGAAGGCAACATGCACGTGCAGTGTGTCCAACTCCCATACTACAAACTGCCTAATCCATTTGCATCCAAAATGCAGCATGCCTAGGTCTACTGCATTTGACTGTGCTGCTTGCTGATGACTTGAAACAGCTCTCAAAGAGCATCTGAAGGATCTCACAGCACATCTTGACTGGCCTCCGTGCATACAAAGAAGCCGGACGAGTCGCCAAAGCGCCAATCCTTTTGGACTCATCGAGCGTGTCATACATGTAACAAGAAAAAGATGACATTGCATGTCCGTATCTTTTCCAAAGGCCCAGGTTTTTGGTACTGTCCTACCACCGCGTTTCATGTGGACAAGGTCAGAACTTGCGAATACTGGGAATAGGGGGTCTGGAAAAACCGCAAAAAAAGCCATCCCCTTGTTGTTGCCCTTTTTGGACAATCACAATATCGCGATTCACAGGCTATTTAGCACCTCACATCCTGAGTGGATGGCCCAAAACAAGTCCAAACCTTTTGTGTACCACTAAAATGGTTTTCCCAACAAGTAAACAAATCCAGGAACTCACCAAGTGAGGCATCGAGTGAACACCGTGGCGTCATTTCTCTCAGCACCCAACGGAGCTCATCCGCCTACGTCAGCTAACCCCGCTCACGGTGTGAGGGGGGACCACTGACGGCAGATTCTGAACAGTCCACTGTGGGAAGGGGTTGTGTTGGGCTGGATTTGTGCAGCTTGCAGTCTTTTCACTGTTTGGGATATGTGCAAGTTGGAGTCTTCTCTGCTGTTCTATCGTATTTCCGGCTTTGCTAAAGAAGTAAACAAGCCTCAAGGAAGCCGAAGAAACAAAACAGAGTTATGTATGTAAACTTATATATTGCATGAGTTTGTTTCTTGGAGAAAAAAAAACTGAGAAAAGATTAGACAGCCCTTCAACTGGATCAGCCCTGCCCAAATCCAAAAACCTGAAAAACCTCGTGAAGACCAAAACAACAACGAAAACACAAGAGTCAACACGAGCATTCCTCGGTTTGGGTTGGCATGTTTGATCCATGAAGGGGTCACCATTTGTCTGTGGCGAGCGCAGCTCTATCATGGAGCCTGAGCGGACCGACGATTAGCTCGTCCTTTCCCACTTCCACCAGAGCAAAGGCCATGTTTGGACGCTGCAACGCTTAGTCAAAGCTAAGGACAAATGCCAAGGCAGAGCAAAGACGTAGCTCTCCATCAGAGGACGTGCGGAAACTACCACCGCTGTCTGGGCATGATTCCAAAAAGAACGTCCTGTCACGGATAGGCAACACGAAGTCTTCAAACCAACGTCGAAGGACTTGTCGAAGAACTTGTCAATCAGCACAAATGTAACTAAGCATGTGCTCTGGAAGCGAAGTGATGGCACTAGATTTTGAAATATCAGATTCCCTGTCCTCTCACGATGTTGTTTGCTTCGTCTCACAGTCGCATGTTTGATTAACTGACAACTGTCCAAACAGCATCAGCCATGATCAAGCAACAATCAGCCGGAAGTGTTGCGCGCCAATCGACGAGTTCAAATGTAAAACCTTCATGATAGACAAACAACCTTAGCCCACCGAGCTTTGTCAAGCCGGATTCTTATTCTTTCGCTGGCACTGGACCTCACCCAACGAATTCGCAACTGAAAGCTCCTTTTCAGACCCCAGTCACATGAGCGTGTCCTTCCTGATGAAAGGCAACTCTTGTAAGAAAAGGATTCCTTGGCCAGCACCGGGCCTCTGTTTCTTCTCGACTCCTCTTCGCTAGCAGGGCCTGGCCGGCTGCAACACCAGCTCTGGCACCCACAGCAAAAGCACGTGGCATGGACATTTTTCGACCAGCTGGAGCGGCTCCTGTTTTTGGATTCGAGATGCTGCTCCTAGTCCTTTAGTATTTCTGGCTCACATTACTGAATCCAATGGGGGCGCATGGAGTGTGATGGAAAGAGCTTGCGCTAGCCGACCGAAACGAAAAAGAGCCGAGTGGAGCTGAAAGCGACCCCTCCTCGATCTCTCGCCGCTGCATGAGAATCAGCTCTTCATGGCCTGGACGAGTGCAAGCACCCTGACCATCCTTTGCCGGCTAGCAAACAACCACTTCTGGCATATTCAAAAGCAAACAACTTGTCAGCGGTTGAAGGATTGGACGAGCAAGGCTCACTGCTCATGTAAACGGCACAGATGCTTTTGATAAGGGCGCGCAAAGAACGGCATCTTGCAAGCCTTCGAGCGCACAATCTGCCAGTCAAAGCTGATGCTTGTGAGGCTGAGTCCCCTTGACGAGGCGGTGGCGATATCGAATTTGCACGAGGCCCAAAGTCGCTTGCGAAACGTTTCAGCATGTCTTGTTTGTGGAATTCCACTTCCGGGATACCTTGTCTTATCCGGTCAAAGTGCAACAGCTTGACTCCCAGTGGCTAAAACACTCATGGGGAAATGGTTGTTCAGCTTGGCCCATCTTCTTCCTTTCATCCCGCAGTCTACCCCCACGCCTTTCACATCCTCCTGCTGTTCCTGCAGGCGCCGCTGCATCTTCACCTGGCTAAGGTCCCTAACTCAGAACCCGAAGAAGGAACACCAGGCTTGCCAGTTGGCCACAAAGCCTGGGCCAAATTTGCCGTTTTTTGGGCGGTTCGGGGATGGGGAGGTTCTAGGGCATGTGTGTGTGTGTGGATCTAAGCCCTTTGTGTGTGGTTCTCGCACCGAAGATTCATGAGCTGCTGGAATTCCAAAAGATCATTCCTGTCAAGAAACACATCTGGGCAAACTCCAACAAACTCCCAAACAAAATGTGGCCCTCATCGCAGGTAAGCTCGTGAAACGCGCCCAGGTGAGCTCGCTATTTGCCCCTTCATTTCGCGTGAACTGGCTCATCCACGGAGTGCTGCACCATGCGATCAGCCTGACAAAAACATCATGTGGCAGCTGCCCAGCCGAACGCTCCAAGAGCCAGTTGTCCTGTGCGCCGGGGAAACGTTTGCCTGCGTCTGCGCAAAAAACACAAACACGCGGTGCTGGCGGTTTGGTCTGAGTTCGAGTGCTGAGTTTTGAGAAACACATCAGTTTCATCCCATGAACATGTTACAAACGTGGCCCGCCGCAAGTTGCAAGCATCAAACCAGGCAACCTCGCCATTAACATTATCCTACTCCGGGCAAACAATCAACCCCCGCAGCAGTGAGCCTCATCATCGTTGACCCGAAGACCATGCAGCCCTCTGCCTCCGTCAATCTCACTCAGTTCGCATGCTGCTGATGCCTTCATTCCAAACATTCTCGACCCATCCCGTCAGCAAATCACTGAGATACTCTTGAACCGTTGCTTCAAAGCAAGATATCAACCAAACGACCGCAATAAAAAGAACAACATAGTGGCCCCATGTGTAAAAAGGCACTAAATCTGCGTGACACACAACGACATGTGGTTTTCCCGCGAATACCTGCCTGCACAAAAACATGGAATCAACACCAGATGCATGGATCAAGAGGGTGCGCTCGCACTTTCTGGCTCTTGGCTTCACTCTCATGAAAAAAAGTGCGGCAAAGAGGAATCCCCGGTCTGCCAGTTGGCTCCTCAACCATCAGAGGAAGTCATGCACATATTTGTTGGCATCCAAGTTTCGCATCGCGATGACATTTTGTTGCAGTCCTGTGGTTGCTGCTAACATATTGATAGATGTTGGCAACTGTCTCTCACTGTAAGCGTGGGACAGCAGCGGGGCGAAATTAGCCCAAAATCAGACACAAATCTGGGCACGCTATACGCGTGTGTCATTAGCAAAACTACGCAAAACTACGCGTGGGTCGGAGATCTCGCTCTCGGGTTTTTTGAGGGCCGTGATCAAAACGAACCATCGCAAGTAGCTGTCGCGTCTTCTCCCTGATCTGTAGATCTGTCCTACTGGTCGGCTCGCAGGGGTTGAGCACGCTAAGTGCGCACACGCTGTTCCCAAAACCTGCTGCATAGCAAGGCGACCTAGAGGTGATGGCAGCCTGGGCAACAAACATTGCGAGTTGAGTCAAGTGCGATTCTTTACAATCTTGGCTTTGCTCTCGGCCAGGACGGCAGCAAATATTGTTGCAATTGCGGTGGAACCACACAGGTCAAACAACGTTCAGCTGGGCTAGGTGGTAGTCGTGTCGTGTTGCACAACTGAACTCCATCACCAACGTTTAACCCTTTACGACTCACAGCTTCAGCCAGAGGTCCGCTCGCGACGCTAAGTCAGGCTCACCGCCCCTCACCGGAGAAGCGTTTTGCCTTGCGCTCTGGGGTAGGCGGCTCATCACCGTTGTTTTGGGGGAAACTTTTTCTATATTACCCTCCACCAATTGACATGGAGCCTGACAGGGGGGTCCCTTTGAGAGGAAATTGTCGTAAAGGATCCCCTTGTCAGGTTCCATGTCGAATGGTGGGAGGGTATATATATATAATTATATATAATACATATATATATATATATATGTGTCCCCACAGCACCTCCCCGACCTGCCACGGAAGGCGCAACAGTCGTCACGAAGGCGTCAAATCTGCGGGCCATTCGCCTCTGGCAGCCTCGCAGCTTACAAGGTTGAAGAAGAGAGCGAATTGCCCAAGCTATCTCGACCAAGCGGGAAAGGCCTGCGTAGGGCATCGCTCTGGAAAGGCATTTTTCCCCAACCACGCGCAGATCTGGCGGGATACCAGCTCATCAGTGCTCAGGATCTGCCCTGGCGCACAGGGCTGTCCGTCGCCCTTAATAGAGCGCCCTGCAACCTGCAAAGGGGCCGGCTTGGCTCCACCCTCCAGTACACGGGTAGGTGACGGTGGGGCTGGGCCCCATCCGCAGCGCAAAGGCCGATCTCAGGGCGTCTCTGGAGGCCCCGACTCCGTTTCCGAAAGCTCGTGCCAGGACATTCTCCGCTTGCGCGCGGTCGGGCGAGAAAACGTGCGTCCGACGCCAACACGGCAACCCCAGCATGCCTCACCCAGGGAAGATCGAGTCATCGAGACACAAATCTCAGTTGACCACAGCACTGAAGTGACACGCAGTCCGGAATCTCGCTGGTGCAAGGATGAGAACATCCTCGGAAATAGAGGCGAGGACTCGGCGAACACCCTGGAGCACTGAAGCAACAAAAAACCTGTCTGTTCGTCCTCCCGTTCGGTCGCAAAGCCTGGCCAGCTGCGTCGGTCAAAAGAGTGCAGTTCGTCGGGGCCCAGCCATAGGCCAGTCCAACACCCCAGCAAGTTTGTCGTGTGAACGCTTCAACAGTCATCAGGTTTCGCAGCTGCCTCTTGTTGGCTCCGGGAGGCAAACAATCGCTCCGCTCACAGCCCCGGCGAGAAAGAGGGGGTGACCCCACCAAGACACAAGGGATCCTTCTAGACCACCGGCTCGGATAGCGCAACTAGTAAACAAAAGGCCGGAGAGCTGTGTTAGAGAGGAGTAACCTCAAAAGCGACTCATCCAAATATTGCCTGGCATCTTGGAACGCTCCTTTTGGCAAGTTTGCCTCATCTCCGCAGGTACGCACGCCCTGCGCGCCTCGCGCCAAAGCTTCGTGCTCCAACCTCACAGATCATGCGGCAGCGATTCTCACACATCAGGTACAAAGAAATTCAAATCATATGGCGTTGTCTTGGCAGCAATGAGCTAATATTGATCATGCACTGTAATTCTCACCATGGCTAGTGACTAGTGGTGTTAATTCTGGCTTGAAATGTGTGTCTGTGTGTAAGAGAGAACACATACGAAGGCCGTCATCGCGAAGATGCCATGAATTTTGACGATACACTGTTGCAACAGCAAGTTTAATCAAAGGTCAAATCAAACTATGACTATGTGTCTTGAGGGCGGCATTTAGACTATATATCCTCGGCAAAAACGAAAGACTGCTTGACTCAGCGGGGAGATCTAAGTGTATTCCGATCTAACTCGGGCGAGACGACTGCGGCTGGCAACATAATTTTGCCCCTTCTGGATAAAGTATCCATGGGACAATGTGATATCGAACTGCCTGATTGGTGCCCCAACCTCCAAAAGTCACAGAATCACTGGCTGTTACAACAGACAACTATTGATAATCGCCATCAAACCAATCAACAGATTCGCGCAGGCTGTGCCCAAGATATTTAATGTAGGATAATGTAGGACACGTTGCGCTATGCGTGTTCAAGTTGGGAGCAATTCTCAGGTCAGCGTACATTATCATGATTTTGCAAGGGCAGTCAGGAAGCAAATCACCAATGAGCTGCAAACGACTCAGGCTGGGTTGGGATTCCAAGGCCATGAACGTCGGGCGAGTGTTTTTTCTTTTTCTTTTTTGTCGTTTTTTTTTTTTTTTTTTTTCCGGAAGCGAGGTCGCATTAGAACAAAAACGTCTTGTTCTAACAAAAAGCAACGAGGTTTGATGGCACACTTCCCAAAAAATCCGCGATCTCTAGGTCCACATTGCCACCTCCATGCCCAAGATGGATCCGCTCGCTCACTCTGGGCACCCCAGGCTCGCGAACCACCGCCTCCCTGAGAAGTCCACGGGGATGGCGGAGTTTGGGTTGCAATGCAAGGCCTGTTTGGATGGCGGTGGGTCAAAAATCGGGTAACCCCAAAATGGCTTGCCCTGGTAAATGGAAACATGGACTCAAGCCTGCGGTCCAATTCCTGGTGGTTTGATTTGGACCCATACCCAAATGTCTCCCGTGGCAACCACACCAGCGATGCCATTGCGTGTTGTCTGCGTTTTTGATGTGTGTGTTTTTTTCTCCGTGTTCTCAGAATGGGTCACATTGTTGGCTGGCCGCATAGGACAGTGCGGCAAAGGCAGCAATATCCGTTTCCTTCTTCGCTGATTACACACCGTCTCCCCCGATATTATAAAAGCACCTTCATTAGTCAGCCCCACGTGTGGCTTGCCATTCCCTCTTGGCGATCTTTTCGACCATCGCCCTGCGCCAACATACAGACCTTCTGGATCGGACTGAAACCCATCAAATCAACACCGAGAGCTTCCAAATACCCGCTCTGGTCGTGACTCCTCCACACACGAGAGACTCATCTCTGAATGTTAGGCCCGACACACCTGCAAAATGTCTTAGTAGTGGTTCCTTGATTAGTGGGAGGACGTGACGAGATATGATACAAACCCCTGTAAGTTCCAAAATTAAGACTCTAAGGGCATGGATGAGAACTTGTCTTCGCCGACACATTGAGAAATGCCAAGAAACTGATGAGGTCAAACCTGAGCAATCTTCGTGTTGTTCTGGGGGGGGGGGGGGGCGAAGGCCAGTGTAACCGCGTGCTGCACAAACACGTTGGCTAAAAAAGGCCGAGGGGCTGGCTCCAATGAAGCTTGCTTGCTCATGCACATCTGCCAAACCAGGTCCGGCAAAAAAAAACACACATCCACCGGACACCTCCCACAACAATATGTCGCAAAGCATAGTTGGCTGTCAAACCGCTTGATCGCTTCTCTCGCCGAACCACCGCGCCAGAACTCCACAAAGCGCTTCCCGGGATCCGGACTCGTGGCGGGTGGACTGGGCCAACTCCT